CAGGGGGCACGGGATGGACCACAACAGGCATGACAGGCGCTACAACGTACGAGATGGAGGGGAGTGCGTACTCGTACAGTATGTACTCTCCCCGTCAGTCGTACGACTCGCCGCAGTATACTGCCGAAGACGACGATGATTTGCAGCGGCGTGGTTCGAGAGTGTCAAGACTCTCGAGGAGAGGCAGTAGGAGGGTGAGTACGTTGAGCGGGAGACCGATGGATGCGCACCTGGAGCAGGACTCGGATGCGGAATATGAGGGCGACCGGGGGATGGAGACGGAAAGGGAGGACGAGGAGCGGGTGCCGCCGTACTCGCATCCCCATCCCCATCCCCATCCCCCAATTGAATACCATCCTCCGCCATTATCAGAGACGCAGACATCGTCAGACATGACTCCTCCAACACAAGCGCACTTACATCAACGACATCCCTTCGCGCATTCTTTCTCCAGCCCGCAAGTCCAGCTTATCTCTAACTCCACCGCTCCCTCGGACACTCAGACGCCACTCCAACAACATCCATCTGCAACGCCCGCCAGCACACCAGTACCAGCAGCCGTCTACGCTGCGTCACCACCCGCTCCCGCACAACCGCCGCCTCATCAACGGCGGTCTTCCTCTCCATCATCGGTGTCGAAGCGGCGAACGTGGGACTGGGAAGAACGGAGGCCGTCGGCACTCGTGGATGAACGAGGCGCACGGCGGAGTCTGCATGTCATCACCACTGCGCCTGGGGTGAATTTGGGACTCGGTTTGGTGAGCACCGCGCTAGCACCACTTGGAACAGGAAGGGGCGCCGTCGGAGGAGGGCATGGACCAGCCGGAGACGCAGCAAGAATGGGAAGAGCAGGAGCGAGGTCGAGTTTGCATCCATACGTGCGTCGCCTTGCGTGCTTTCATATATGATCCTGGAGCTGACCAGGCGCGCGCGCGTGTGTGTCCGCGTATGATAATGCAGGTGGTCAACTTCACGTCGCCGATCGGTGAGTCCATGTGGCTTCTACGCAGCCTCATCCATGCGTTGCTAACACACGTCGTTTGTAACTGTTCGGTGTAGACCTTGTTGATCTTTCGCCACGGGACGACCTGCCGCGGGCGATGTGAATGTAAAGTGGGATCGAGTGGGAAGGAGGACCCATGTGCCGCGCGGCGCAAGCACATGTATCGCATCTGTGCGGCACTGCCACATAGTCGTCTCATCCGCCGGCATGCATATGGCCCTGAGTGCCGGCGCATGATTTCCACATTTCGCTCTCACCCTTCTGTCGACAGTCGCTCCGGTCCCCACCGCTCCGAGTTTCTCCATCCTCGTTATATTCCCCTCCATCATCTCGCACTCACCAGCTGCACATCTCTTCGCCATCTCCGTCTATATATTCGCTGTCCGTCCCACTCCTCTCTTCGACCGATACCGCACATCGCAAAATGCCGCGGAGCCTTCGCGCATCCTCCTACCGATACCTTACTACAACCCGATACACCCAGCTCCATCGCCAGGCAACCGCACGAGTCTCTCCATCTCTACACGCACGACTACACCCTCCTAGTCCCACCTCCTAAGTACCTGGCGTACACCCCTAGACCGACTCATTCACCCGCCCTCAAGCATATCTGACGACCACACTCATCTCCTGCCCTCTCCACCCATCATGATGAGTGGAATTCCCGGCCTCCACCTCTTACGACCTGTCATGACCGCGTGCTATATCTTGGATCCCATTATCCGTTCGGGTTCTTCCTCCTTCACCGACTCCTACTTTTCGCGTTCTTTCACCGTCTACTGTTGGTGTTGTGGCTCGTGTCATCTCGTCCGCGCATCATTGTCAAGGATGGATATCAACAGAGATGACAGACTGGAGGCCCTCCAGCGCGGGCGGGCGTAGGTTATTCGTATTCGCTATCTAGAACGGGACCTCTATCTATCGTCGCGTATCTGTGCCTCCGTGTTTTTGTGTTCTGTGTTTCATGCGTTCTGGTTCTGTGTCGAGGTCTTGTGTCGTTATTCTGCCTGTCGTGTTGGCTTGTCGATCTGTTGTAGGATATAACGATCGTGCTAATGTACCGTATTGTACAACACCGGATAGGAGTTGCTTGCTGTGTGCTGGTGACATCCAAGAGATTGGTGGTTAGTGACCTGTCTACACGATGTTGCATTGCGAAGTCGAGTTGCTCGTTGGCCAAGATACTATCTACAGGCGAGTCAATCCCTAGAACTGCATGTGCAGATGCCCAGGACTAACGGCATAACTACAGTTGCGCTTCCAACTACAGTCCCTGATACATCCCAATTGCATCCAGCGGTCCTCCACTATCTTCAATATTACTGCGAATCCTGGAGGTGCGAGGTATGTCTTGGGTCCACTATGGAATGTTGTCGCCTTATACTGGCTTGATGCAGACACCACAAGCGCAACATGATGGTATCCGAGGGTCGGTTCGTTAGGCACGTACTTCGGTTACTGAGACTGCCCAGGCCCCACATGACTACAGACCTTTCGGACGAATGGTTCTTCTCCGGGCCTCTCCCAGCCTCTTCCAGCACAACTGCTTCCGAAGATCATCCGATCATGCCTCTCTCACACATTCTCTCACCTTGCAACTCTGAATGCCAATATTGAACAACACCGGACCCCCGTCTGCCTGTCACGCGGTCATCCTAAATACGTACGCCCTCAGCGTTCGCTCCGCGTTTGACCCACGCCATACTGAACGGCCTTCTTGAACCAGACCCCGCCGTGGTCACGCATCCCGCATGAGGGCCGTCCCCCCCCGGCTCTCGATCGTTTGTTGGTGGGCTCATGTCCGTCGCCGTGTCTGATGTGGCGCTCTTAGTGAGGTGCGGCTCCCGGCGGGCCTCCAGGTATTTGCGGACAAAGCGTATACGAAGCAGGTATAAATTACCGAGGACGGGATTTTGCGCTCTCGCTAGTCATCGGTCCCCACGCAACTACTCGCGTCGGCATGCTCGGTCTACGTCTCTCCGTCGCGCTCGGCGCGTTCCTCGCCGTTGGGTTCGCACTCCCTGCGGCAGCCTCTGACTCGGACTCGGACTCTGGTATTCGCGGGCACCCGGGCAGCAAATCGGGGCTCAACATCGCGGCGAAGGCGGCGAAGAAGCTGTACCTGGGGACGGCGACTAACGCGGACCAGTGGAACGACACGACGTACTACAGCCTGCTCAGGGACAACGCCGAGTTCGGGCAGATCACTGCCGCGAACGTCATGAAGTGGGTGCGTCGTGGCGTGCTTCTGGCTCGTGGGTGGTCGGCGAGAATCCCGAAAGCTGACGTCGTGCCTGTCTGTTGCTACCTCCCACCCCCCACCCCCCGGACACACACACACACCACTTACCCGTTGGCGACCGTCCATTGGTGGTTAGTTCGCTACCGAACCTGAGCCGGGTGTGTTTACGTTTGCGGAGGGGGACGTCATTGCGAACTTGGCGAAGAAGACCGGAAAGCTGCTGCGCGGTCACAACTGCGTGTGGCACAACCAGCTCCCGGACTGGCTTGCGAACGGCAACTTCAGCGCGCCGGAGCTGGCGGGGATCGTGTCCAGGCATTGTTTTAACCTCGTTCGTCACTACAAGGGCCAAGTGTGAGTTCGGTCGTCTCCCTTGAAGTTGCTACGCTGCGGACACCCGCTTGGCCAGTGGAGACGTGGGCTGATATAACGCTTTTTTTCTCCCGCCGCTGCAGTTGTACGTACAACCACCCCACCCCACCCCCACATGCTATCACGAGATGAGATGAGATGAGACGAGTACTGATCGGAAAACGAGGAACTGCAGACAGCTGGGACGTCATCAACGGTAAGCTCCGCCGCGATTCCTAGTTCTAGACACACGCACACACACTCACACCGCTCCTGATCGGGAAAACAAAAACCTCTCTTCTGCGTAGAGCCGTTCAACGACGACGGCACTTTCCGCTCCGACATCTTCTACGACACGCTCAACACGTCCTACATCGCCCTCGCGCTCCACGCCGCCCGCGCCGCAGACCCGCACGCAAAGCTCTACATCAACGACTTCAATATCGAGTCGATCGGTATGTGTCCTCGTCCGTCTCCCCCCGCCGTCACATGGCACTTACTCGCCCACTTCCAAATCACTTGGCTCTCCCCTTACCCCTTTACCCCTTCACCCCCACCCCCATCCCCACACCCCACATCCCTCAGACGCAAAATCCACCGCACTAAAGACCCTGATCAAGACCCTCCAGCGCCAACGCGTGCCCATCGACGGCGTCGGGCTCCAAGCGCACCTCACCGTCGGCGGCGTCCCCGCCACGCTGCAGCAGAACCTCGAACAGTTCGCCGCGCTCGGCCTCGACGTCGCCATCACCGAGCTCGACATCCGCTTCGCGTCCCTCCCCGCCTCCGCCGCAGGCGTCGCGCAGCAAAAGGCCGACTACGCGAGCGTCGTGCGCGCGTGCGCAGCCGTGCGCCGGTGCGTGGGCGTCACGCTCTGGGACTTTACGGACAAGGTGAGAGTGTGTCTTCAAGCTTTCGAGTCGAGCGCCGAGTGCTGGGGAGTGCTCCGAGTCGTCGGATCGGGCTAACTGACGTTTTGGGGCCAGTATTCGTGGATCCCGAGCACATTCGAGGGACAGGGCTACGCCTTGCCGTGGGACGAGGTACGTTCCACCCCGGGCTCCTCTGAGCTCTCTGCGTTCTGGCGGCTTTGATACTGACTGGAAGTTGTTTCCGCTGGCAGAACTACGTGAAGAAGCCGGCGTACGACGGCATCATCGAGGGGTTTTCCAAATCGCGGTGACGGATGATGATATGAACTCCACAAGCTTCTTGGTGTTCATGGCAGAGCATTGGAATAGATCGACGATGGTGACATCGTCGGTTAACCCTGTGCACGCTCAGCCCGAACTTTGTTTACTTGGTCCGACTGTGAAACATGACATAAGTAACAGTATTCTGTGTTGAACAGGGAGCAGTGCTGTGTAGCTCGCGAGGGAGACCTACTGGCAAATATAAAAATCATGGACACACTGGGAATTGAACCCAGCACCCCCCGCAGGCAGATTAGCTAGATCATGCTAAGCGGATGTGATAACCAACTACACCATGTGCCCTTGTACTGTTACATTATCCGTCTGTCCAATACACTGTGCTATCACAAAGACGTGACGCCATCATCGTGGTGTCTCGTCTGTCAGTGTCAGTGTCAGACAAGCTTTGTTCTCAACTCACACTTCCGGGTACCCTGCCGCCCAGCGAGCACGCCTACGAGGTTCGATTCGAACGGGAAAGGGACACACACGTAAGAACAGGAAGAGCGTTGATCCTACTCGACTTACAGCCCACCTATTTCCGTTGGTACTAGAGCGCTCTTGCCATCTCCGCCGTCGCGGACTTCCAAGTTGAACTTGGCCACGTTTTTTCTTGTCGATCATCTACTTCCTCCGCGCGCGCGTGGCTGTCAGCCGCAGGCAGCAGCCGTCCTGGCGTCGACTCGACTTATGAATGGGGAGGGAGCCGGGGGGTGTGCGAGAGATTGTCGTAGTGCCAATTTTGTACTGAGTGCCCCGCAGTGAGTACGACAGGCATTCAAGTAGTAAGTCCCCGAGAGGGTTCTGTTGGCCGTTCCTTGTACATCCTATCTGCATGCTCAGAACCTTGCTATTGCACAGGCCATCGTACGACAGCCTTCGCGAACCTCGCCTGGGAGTGGTAACAACACAGATAAAGGGCCCTCCCTCCAGTGCATGCGGCAGCCTCCGTGTAATCTAGCAGTGAGATGGAAAGTTCTACCCAAAAGGCGGGTAGGTTCAGCAACGCCTGAGGGATCAGGCCACCTTGCGTTCTCGCAAGCCCGTGTGCGCTGTTTCATAGCGCATGAGAGCGTAAGAGGAAGGCAGGTACACCAAGCTGGCTAGCGGATCTACGTCCTCCCGGAATCGACGCGCTCGTTTGGGGATTAGGTTTGCAATGGACGAGGAGATAGTTGCACCAGGTTAGTCGGTGCCGGAAGTGCCGAGGGGGGCATAGGCTGCAGCGCGTTGTGGTTCAGATGGCGGCGCAGGGTTCTATTCGCATCAAACCCCATCGCCTCGCTCCATCTCGTACAGGAAGAAGCGAGGGGGAGTTCCTAGGGGGGCAATGCGCGCTCCCCTGACAGCACGCATCAAAGTCTAACCGTAGGAATGGCTCGCTGGACGCCTATTAAAGAGCAACCTCATCGGCCGTTTCGCCATCGCCAATCGTTTGGGAAAGCGGACGTTGCGACCTCTTCAGACCGTTGGGCAAGCCATCTGCCATCCGACGCAGGAGCAGCCCGCAGTGGACTGTACACGCAACACCCCCCTCCGACGACATCCATATCCTTTCTGTGATCAAGCTCCCCGATCGACCGCGCACTCGCTCGCCAGGTCCGCCCGATGGATATTCCTCCACCTCCCCGCCCCGATCTCAAGGTCGTCACCGCCCCGATCTTCCCCCAGGCCCTCTTCGACGAGCTCTCTGCAGCCGTCCGCGGCGAGGTATTTCGTCCAGCCGATCCAGAGTAAGGCACACACACACATCTATCCATGCTCCCCAGACTCTCAGTTGCAGCTCATCGCCATCCGTTGCAGGTACACCGAACGCGCAAAGACGTTCAACGGGCAGCTGCAGCCGACGTGTCGGGTGCTGGTGTCGCCGGTGGACGCACAGGACGTGAGCGCGGTGGTCAAGTTCTGCCTGAAGCACGAGCTGTCGCCGTCGGTGCGCGCAGGCGGGTACGGGATCGCCGGCTGGGCGGTCGCTGGCGATGTGATCGTCGACATGAGCATGATCAAGGACATCGAGATCGAGCGACCGCTGCCAGTCGACGAGGGCGAGGTGGATTGGGTTCCGCTGAGCGAGATGCCCGCGCCGGGCAGCAAGGGCAAAGGACGGTCCGGGGGGGTGCTGTTGCTGACGGGGTCGGGAGCACCCTCTGATGTGTCCACCGCTGCGGACGGTTCGGGAAGTTGGATATCCGCGGCAAAGAAGCGGCGTCGCGAGGAGCGCTCTTCTTCTCCTGCAAGCCCCAGCCCCGCCGCCCGGCCTGAGGAGGTTGGGTCGGATGCTGTTGCTGGTGCTGGGCAACGCCTGTTCGAAAATGCGTCGACTGCCGTCGCTACCTTCCTCCGTGGCCCGCCGCTCCCTCCTGTGCCCGGCGAAACGCCGAGGCAGCCTCCGACGAACAGACAACGGGTGCATTCGCCTGCGCACGGAGGAGAGCTAGAATCACATTCTCGGGAACAAGACCGGGTGGCGGCGGCGGCGGCGGCGGCGGGGGGAGCGGGGACGGTGCCGCCGTCGGATGAGCGGATGCGGCAGATTTCTGGAGGATCGTCGAGATCATCGGATGGCAGCTCACAGATGACAGCATTCAGCCCAAGCACGAACGCCACAACGCCGCTGGACGACTGTCCCATCGATCCTCCTCCCTCGGCCTCTCCATCCACCACCTCTCATCCCCCCGATGCCCGCGAACCCTTCAGCCACCTCGCCCCCGGTGGTGCCCCTCCTCCCTCCTACCACCACCCCCCGCTCCTGCTCCCACTCGGGGCCGGTGTATCTGCCATCCCTGCGTTCTTCCCGCCTGCGCCTGTGCTAGGGAGCTCGGCGGGGGTCACCGCATGGAACCCCTTCACGCTCGGACCTTCGCGCTCCGGTATGGCAGGTCCAGCAGGGGCTCTACCATTCTCCACCGTGCCGCCCACCTTGCCCGGTCCCGGTCAGTCCTTTTCCTTCCCCCCTGGCGCCGGCATCCTGGGCGGAGGCGGAGGCGGAGGCGGGCTGTCCGTGTCGGACGCGTTTGCCCAGGCCCTGCAGGCCGCACAGGCTGCGTCGGGCCATCTGGGCACCATGCCCCATGCGAAGCCCGTCCATCCTCATGCGTATGTCACCTTTGGCGCGGGCATGCGCCAGAAGGATATTGATACCTTTACGTCCGACAACCCGCTCGAGGGCGTGAATGCGGTCACGGGCGAGAAGGACGCGGCGGTGCCGTATCATATCCCGATGTGAGTGACGTTCAGCGAGTACTGTGGTTGCTTGCTTCATTCAGTGCTCACAATGGGTGCTTCCTCGAATACTACTGCTACTAGGTCTGCGCACCCGGTCGGTTCATCCATCATGCTGCTCTCTGGTTTCGGCTTCATCAGCAGGATGCACGGCTTGAGCATCGACAACCTCGTCGAGGTCGAGATGGTCCTCGCCGACGGACGCATCATCGTCGTCAATGCCGAACAGGATCCCGGTCCGTCAATTTCCGCTTCCGTGACCGCGAGGGAGCCACCCTCGGCTGATAGTCATACACTCTCCAGAGCTGTGGTGGGCAATCCGAGGTGCGGGCCCTGCCTTCGGCATTGTGACGCGGTACAAAGCACGCGCGTATCCAGTCCCCGTCGTCTTTGCCGGAAACATCATCTAGTGCGTCCTCCCCCCTCCTCGCTTCCCCTCTCGCTTCCGTCCTTGCTGACGAGACGAGACTTTTTTCCGATCTCATCGTTGTGTTGTGCCCAGCCGCTTCCACCGCGCGACGGCCGCGTCGCTCATCAAGCACTTCCGGGACTGCATCAAGGGCGCGCCGCGCGAGCTGTACGCGAACGTGCTGCTCACCGCCGGCCCGGCGGACAAGGACTCGCTCGTCGTCATCCAGATGTGCTACGCCGGCCCGAAGGAGAAGGGTATCGAGTTCCTCCACGCGATCTCGAGCTGGGACGGCGAGCGCTGTCTGCTCAACGAGGTCAATGAGAAGAGCTACCTGAACCAGCAGGACAGCGTCGCGCAGGTCATCCGCGGCCGAGGTGTGTCCTCTCTATATCTCCTCTCTCTATATATTATCTTATATTTGGAGGCTTCGGACGGGTCAATGGTCGATGCTGACGCGACGTGTTTACGTTTATAGCGGGACGGCAGTGGTTCCTCCGCTCGTCGCTCATCACGTCCCTCCCCGACGAGCTCATCACGCGGACTGTGATGGAGTTCGCAGACACGCCCATCGGCTGCAGTACGTCCCTGTCCTGTCCTCCCCCTCCCCCTGCCTCCTCTTGTCTCTGTCCAGGTCTAGGTCTAGGTTTAGGTGGGCTGACCCCGTGCTCCTCCTCCCACTGGTAGCGTGGATATTCGAGCTCGCGGGCGGCGCGATCGGCGACTTTGAGGACAACTGCCTCCCGAAGGAACAGCGCGAGGCGGCGTGGACCGTCGCCGCGTTCCACCAGTGGGATATCGGCATCGACGACCCGCGGTGCGTGACCACGGCGGAAGACGTGAGTTTTGGGGGTTTCACCACCGTTCAACCGTTTCTCCACCCATGCTGACTTTTGAGTGCCTGTTTGTCATTGTTCAATATCTATAGTGGATGAAGGACACCATCAAGCCGCACTCCATCGGCGGGCCCTTGCCAACTGTCAGTACCAGTCTCCACACCTCATCTGTACAGGCGTAGTACTGATCGAGCTCTCACACATCCGTTCTCTCTTTGCTCGATATCTCTCCCTCCCTCTCTCTCTCTCTTTCTCTCCGCTTCCTCCCTCTATCTATCTTTCATCCACCACCCACCGCCACCAGTTCCTTGGCCGCCACGAGCCGCCCGCGCGCGTGAAGGCGTGCTACGGGAAGAACTGGGAGCGCCTCGCCGCGCTCAAGCGCAAGTACGACCCGACCGGCTTCTTCAAGAACAACCTCTGGCCGGTCGACAGGGACGGCAGGGACATTGACCTGCTCCACAACGAGCCGCCGTCGCCGGTCGACTGAATTAAACGAATGGAATGAATGAGTGGATGAGTGGGTGGGGTGGTTGAGTGGATGAGTGGATGAGCGGGTGGATGGATGGATGGAAAGACGGGTGGTAGCTGAGGATGATCTACGAAATGGGTAGATGCGTGCCCCAGTGCTGAACGTTGTTGTATTGCTAGCGGACGAGATCTGGTCAGAGTGGACTTGGTTATATATTATGGTATGCTTCCAGGAAGGCTGAGGATGGGCACAGAATGTCTTGGCAGTGACTCGGGGCTAAACTACGAGCAGAAGTGGGCTTGGGTAGGTCGTAACTAACGGTAAGTGAGTTATGTGCACGTGCGCGCACTGCAAAGATCGCATC